GGAAGGGTCACTGACCGCGGGCGCGCGGCCCTGGTGGGGGAGGGTCACTGACCTCGGTCGCGCGGCCCTGGTGGGGGAGGGTCACTGACCTCGGTCGCGTGACTGCGGTGGAGTCACTGACCTCGGCCGCGCGACTGCGGCGGTGTTACTGACTTCGGTCACGTAATTACGGTATATATATATATATATATACACATATATATATATATATACATATATGCGTATGTGTGTGTATTATATATAGATATAGAATATTACATATAATATATATACTATTCTCTTTTTTACCCTTTTCCTTATTACGTGACTTTAGTCACGTGTTGTTTTTCCACTTCTCTCTCTCACTATTTTTTGAGTTTGATTTTTATGTGTTATTTCTGACATTTCTCATATGTATATTATATGATTTATAAGACGTATATACTATCTGTCATCGCGGTGACAGGTTGTGTTCACTGACAACACGTTAAATAAAAATAACAATAGCGTGCGCGTAGCACGCGGCTGTCTTGTGCTAGTAATATAAATACTAACAAATGTTTATGTACAATTGAGAAATTAAAATAATATCTCAAACATTGATTGAGTTGTGTTACATTTGACATTTACGTATCTGATAATTATTTCTTTAATAATAAATGTGCCGGACCGCACGCCCGATCATTAAGAGTTATCTTACATTATTTGTTGAAAGAGAGTAACGACGTCAAGGGTAATTATCAACGACGCGATGATAATAATGCTTCGCGCCGTGGAAAAAGAAGAAGAAGACGTATTAGAACGAGAGACAACCGTCGTTCAACGTAATGATCAATTTGTTATCTCGACTCGGAGATGCGCGTGCAAAAAATCGAATGAATGATTGTGTATTTCTAAAAAAAAAAAAAAAAAAGCACCGAGTCATTCACATCTAGTTCATCGAGACGTCGGATTGATCACCGACCGTGACATAAATGCGTGGTAATGATGAGGTCGGATTAAAAGAGAATGAGCGGTCGAATCGAACGGTAAAACGAAAAACACATCAGCCGCAAGCCTCGGCCTAATGATACGCGAAATTTAGCAAATAATTGACGAGACGAGATAATCGATAGAGAGATTAATTGGCAGCGAAATTTATTTCGTTAAGAATTTCAATGTATAAATAAGATCAATTATTGCAAATCAGTTCCGCAACTTCCACAAAACAATTGCTTGTAATAATCGAACGCTCGTACCGAACGTTGCTTCGCGCGAACAATTTTCTCGACACAACAAAAAAAACCTCGATCTTTCTTTGCCTATTTCTCAGTTTTTAAACGTAATTAGAAATCTCGTTTGAATATTGTTTTTAATTTCCGTCTGTGTATATACGCGCGCACAGCGTTTGTAATTATTTTAATTAATGCACGTTGAGAGCGATAACAACACAATGAAATGAATAAAGACGGTGTGTGAAAAATTCCTCGCAATGCGCGAGGACGATGTATTCAGATGAGCGTTAAATGCGGACAACTTGCGTGACCTGGATGTTTATTTTGTTTTTTACACAACGTGTCACAGTACACACGACGCATTCGCGTTTGTTTCTCGCTGGTAAAATATCGAAGTGACATTTTTCTCGAGAATCTAAGCATTTTTTCGCGGAGAATTCAACTGATTACGATCTATCCGTTTTTGCTTTCTGCTAAATAGTTTCTGATTCGCGATTTTACAATATTTTTGAGAGAGGAAGAGAGAGAGTGAGAGCGAAATTAAGGTCGCGGTTTTTTTGCGCAAAAAGTGATGATTTCACCGAGATTCGTTTTTAATGCTTTTTTTTTCAACGCGTATCGGTCTATCAAGAATAAACAAACGTTTTATGGCAATGTTTTTAATGAGATTTTTCAAACAGACATAGAGAGTGAGAACCGCTTTACGCGTTATTAAAACGTTTACTGCGGTAATTAACGTTACAGCTGCATGTATGAACATTGCACACACCCGTCGCGCATAAACGTTCTCCGCGAACGCGAAGGAACGTTCGAACGAAAAAAGAGTTGTATACTTTTTCGGAAGCGCGGTTTCTCTCTTGGAAAGTAGTTACAATTTTGCGAGAGAAAATAACATTTTTTTTTTCCAATTGGCGTTAAATAGCATTTTTCCCAGTTGCGGTAACAAAACGCTCGTTACCGTACGCGATAAAAATGCAAATTTTCCAAAAAGAAATCGAAAGTTGCAAATTATTTTCCCGATGTCGTAAAAACAACTTTAATGACGTACGCCCGTCTTTTCTTATCAGGGCAGAACGGAACAGAGCGTAATTTTCCTCTCTCATCTCTCTGTAACACTCCGGCGGAACAAACGACAAAAAGTAAAAGTCCGAAAGCGCGCCCACGGGGGATTTAACGGAAACTTTCGATTCTGCCCATGTAGGAATTGCCGACAGACTTCCAGTAATACTACTAGGCCAACAATGGCTCAACCTTTATAGCCGATACTCGATATTGACAATTGGTCCAGTATTGTCCCATTTTTGTATTTTATAACAACCCAATATTGGCCCGCTTGTTCACCAGTGTTCGGCATTCATATTGGGCCAGTACTGGCAAGAAGACAGGACCAATATTGGGCCAGTACTGGCAAGAAGACAGGACCAATATTGGGCCAGTACTGGCAAGAAGACAGGACCAATATTGGGCCAGTATTGGCAAGAAGACAGGACCAATATTGGGCCAGTATTGGCAAGAAGACAGGACCAATATTGGGCCAGTACTGGCAAGAAGACAGGACCAATATTGGGCCAGTACTTGCAAGAAGACAGGACCAATATTGGGCCAGTACTTGCAAGAAGACAGGACCAATATTGGGCCAGTATTGGCAAGAAGACAGGACCAATATTG